AACTAAAAAAGATAGTTATCCTTTGCCCAGAATAGACGATACTTTGGATACACTTTCTGGTTCTCGTTGGTTCTCCACACTCGATCTGAAAAGTGGATATTGGCAAGTAGACATGGAGCCAGCTGATCGTGAGAAAACCGCATTCTCGATAGGATCAGGGCTTTGGCAGTTCACAGTTATGCCCTTTGGTTTATGTAATGCTCCGGCCACATTTGAAAGATTAATGGAGGCAGTTTTAAGAGGTCTAACATGGAAAACATGCCTGGTTTATTTGGATGATGTAATTGTAGTTGGAAGATCCTTCGATGAACATGCCAATAATCTGACCGAAGTCTTTCAACGATTGCGGACAGCGAATTTAAAGTTGAGTCCGAAGAAATGTCACTTGTTTCGAAGAGAAGTGAAGTACTTGGGACATATTGTAGCAAGTAATGGAGTAACAGCTGATCCTGAAAAACTTGCAGCAATTAAGGATTGGCCAGTACCAAGAGATAAACACGAAATTAGAAGTTTTCTTGGCCTTTGTACATATTACCGACGTTTTGTCAAAGGATTTGCCAACATCTCCAAGCCATTAACTAAGTTGACAGAAGAAGGCAAAGAATATAAATGGAGCGAAGAGTGTCAAAGAGCTTTCAAACACTTACAAATGGCTCTGATCAGCGCACCGATTTTAAGCTACCCTAGACAGGCAGGAAAATTTGTGTTGGACACCGATGCAAGCAACAGTGCAATAGGAGCTGTTCTCTCCCAAATCCAAGATGGGCAGGAGAAAGTTATCGCTTACTTTAGCAAATTCTTGTCGAAATCAGAGAGAAACTATTGCGTTACCAGGAGAGAATTGCTAGGCGTAGTAAAGGCTTGAGAGCATTTCCATAAATATTTATACGGCAGAAAGTTTCTTCTTTGCACGGATCACGCTGCTCTAAAATGGCTCCTACAATTCCGTAATCCAGAGGGCCAGATGGCAAGATGGTTAGAACGATTACAAGAATATGATTACGAGATCGAACACAGGGCTGGAAGAGTTCATTTAAATGCTGATGCGCTTTCGAGAAGGCCGTGCAGTGAACATTGTAATCACTGTCTTAAATTAGAAGAAAGACTTTGCCCCGTGAGACGAACCACCGTCATTAATGATCAATGGCAGCCTCAACAGCTACAAGATGCTCAAGCAGATGATCCATGTATAAAGAGAGTATTGGATTGGATGCGTCGAAGTGAAAGGCCCTCTTGGCAAGACATTAGTGCATGTAGTCCTGAAGTCAAGTGTTACTGGAGCCAATGGAATTGCCTAGTGTTAAAAGATGATCTTCTTTATAGAACCTTTGAGAACGATGATGGTACAGAATCTAAGCTTCAGTTGATTGTACCTAAAAGTAAAGTGTCAGAAGTATTGCGTCAGTTACATGACGGTGCATCAGGTGGACACTTTGGTATTACGAAGACTCTGCAAAAGGTTCGAGAACGGTTCTATTGGGTGAACTGTAAAGATGATGTAAGAAGATGGTGCCGGAAATGTGAACTGTGTGCAACCAGTAATGGTCCAGTTGGTAAAAAGAGGGCACCCATGAAACAGTACAATGTTGGTAGTCCTATGGAAAGAGTAGCAATCGACATTGCAGGTCCACTTCCAGAGACAAACGATGGAAATAAATATATCCTGGTAGCCATGGATTATTTTACAAAATGGACTGAGGCCTATGCGATACCAAATCAGGAAGCTGCTACCGTTGCAGAGGTACTTGTTAAAGAATTCTTTAGCCGATTTGGTGTTCCCTTGGAGATCCACTCCGACCAAGGGCGAAACTTCGAGTCAACCCTTTTCCAAAACGTTTGTAAATTGATTGGTGTCAATAAGACCAGAACGACACCCCTGCATCCTCAATCAGATGGAATGGTCAAGAGAATGAACCGAACGATGGGTAAACACCTGTCCAAAGTTGTATCAGAACATCAAAGAGATTGGGACCAGCACATTCATTTATTCCTAATGGCCTACCGCTCGGCCGTGAATGAAATGCCTGATGTTAGGTCGTGAAGTTCGTTTGCCCTGCGACCTAGAGTTTGGCTGCAGACCTTCTGAAGAATATGTTGCAAGCGAAGATTATGTCGACCGCCTAAAGTTAAGAATGAACAACATTCATGAACTTGCCCGACAACACATCCAGTTAGCCAGTGACAGAATGAAAGATCAATACGATTCTCGATGCAAGAATGAAGGCTATAAAGTAGGTGATCTTGTTTGGCTTTATAATCCACAACGTCGTCGTGGCTTGTCTCCTAAACTGCAAAGACAATGGGAGGGTCCGTATGAAATTAAAAAAAGAATAAATCACGTAATATACCGAATTAAGAAGTTGCCGAAAGGTAAACCTAAAGTAGTTCACATAAATCGTCTTGCACCTTATGCTGGCTCAAATGAAACCGAAGAAGTCCGAACCCTTCAAAATAAGATCAAAGATGATCGGCGACCAAGCTTTAAGGAGTTTATGTCAAATTACGCAGAGAGAAAGAGTGCTAGATTCGGCGTGACGACAGAAGTTCAGCAGGATCTTTTTAGTGTTCCGCATAACGTCTCTCTAGCCCACTGTGTTGCCCAAGATCTTGAGATGACTAAAGGAATCTCATCTGTATTTTATAAGAAGTTCGGTCGTTTGGACGAGTTAAAAAACCAGCAGCCTAAAGTTGGAAGAGTATTGAGATTAGAAGATGGTTCTCGATCTTTGCTGTATATGGTGACCAGGAAGTCGTATACAGACAGGGCAACCTACGAGGATATATGGTGTGCTCTAACTAATTTGAAGAAAATCGTCTGCAATTACGACATTAAGAATTTGGCCTTACCCAAGATAGGCCATGATAATCTGGATTGGAAGATTGTCAGAAGCATGCTAGAAGTGATCTTCCGAGAAACCGGTGTAAGAATTACCGTGTGTTGCACTAATCCAAAGAGATTGTGTCCTTCAAAGACAGTAGACTGTTATTTCTTTCTGAGGGGTTCATGCAGAGCTGGAGAGTCCTGTAGATTCCGCCATCCTGGGCCTACATATATAGTTGCTGATCGGGACGCTCAGATCTAAGAGGGGAGCAGTGTTACGAACACGTAGCGTGTCTCCGTATAGCGGCTGCATCTCGAAAGCGACTCGATGCTTCCAGAAACATCTGTCACGTACGCCTAGAGGTGGGAACTTTCTAGAAAAAAGTAACTTTGGTATATATATGTAACGATCTTAGGAGTTAGTTTAGTTGATAAGATAATACCGAACTGTAAAGTTATAAATAAATATATTTATATAAATTCGAACCGCTCGTTTTATTTAATCACGTTACACTATACTAATGGTATACTATACTAAATCTAGCTTCTATATCTTATGACGGGTAGCTCTATTAGACACCAGACTCAGTAAAATACAAGTTTAATCTAAATAAAAATATATTCAAACGCTACGATCCGCTGTTGATACCTGCGAAAAATAAGTATTGGCGATGCTAGGAAAGTTGAAATAAAAGGACGATGTGTTGGTTAGTACCCAAACATTAGGAAAAGTCTAATCAATACTTAGTTTACTCTATACAGACGAGGAATGTAAAGCAACCAATCAATACTTGGTCGCCTACAGGTAGGACAAGTTGGCCTTAGATCAATACTCCATGATCCGGATTAGAATCTCTTACCAGATCAGTACTCCACCTTAAACTACCGGAGCGGTTGTCTTTTGATCAATACACAAAGGCCTGGGCTGGAGTGCTTACCAGATTAGTTCTCCGGTTTGAACTCAGTTCTATGCCAATATCTACGCTGTTTTATACCTTTGACGATATTCCACCTCCCGCGCGCATCGAATGGTAGTGGTAGGTGATGGTTGAAATGCCTGGAAATAAATAGGAGTCAGCCATCCCATCGTTGCAATCTTCCGATGTCCGTTGGTTTTTGGGTTGCTATTCCTTCTTCTATTCATTTTCTAAATTTATTTGAGATCTCCTTTTGTAGCTCTCTGCTATTATACCTCTTGCTTAAATTACTTTTTGGTCTATGGGTTGAAGAAATCATTTGTTCCATTTTTACTCTTACTAGTAAGTGGTAGGAATTTGCATTAAGGTTACTGTTCCTGCGCCTGCTTTTTCCATCTTTTATATATATGTAATTGTCTTATTTACTAATCTTGGCATTGAAGTATACTGCTTATATTTAGGATAATTTTAAAATCATTTAATGTAAGCTGAAATAGGTCGTAACGTTTGTTCGGTGGTTCAGCATCCTTAATATCAATTCTTGTTTTTTTTTAGAAATATCTTGGCATATTTAAAATATTTTAATTGTAAAAGAAAACAAATATGCAAAAAATATATTACACTGTATAATGAAACCACAAAATATTGTCGTAGATTGAAGACCTACTCGATATTTGACAGTTAGAAGTGATTAAATGGTGGTTCTCATTGACACACATTTCTTAATTCGCACGATTCGAATGGTTAGTGACTGGGCGTATTCTTAATGCCAACCAATAAAATTAAAATATCTACATAAATATGTGAATGATGCATTCTGTTAATTTTCACTGAGAATTAATTACGGACAGAGAAATAAATACGGTACCTATTTAAAAAGGCCTTAGTAAGAACAATGAGCTTCCTGGACATTAAAAGGAATTAAAACTTTTTTAACATATACAATGGACCAATAAGGGTTCTGTGTTTTGGCTATACTAAGCATACAAAAACAATTAACAATACATATTAAAGACTAATAAAAAAGTTATCGATAATTTTTCATCTCAAAAAAATAATTTGACCTTACGTGCAGAAGTTTTTAATTGACCTATCAAGTTTATAATTAAAAAAGCTTATATTATAGTTCAAAATAACGTAGTTGCTTTTTACTAGTGTGGGATCCATTGATTGTGAAGTAAAAAAGCGCACTATTTCGTCATTTAATTGTAACAATGATATGTGAATAATAATTTAAATGGCATATATTAACTTTTGTCTAGGTGAGGTAGAAAAGCAATACTGCAGCAGAGTGACACACGTTCTCTGTGAGACCCAGCGTCACGGTGTAGTAATGCAAGCATTAAGAGATTGTAAAAGGTGCGTTACTATACTTTGGTTATCCGACGTGATGCAAAGAAAACAAGTATTACCACCTTGGACTGCTCTACATCTTCCAAATATATACTTAGACACTACACCAGCAGCAAAACACTTGATTTCTGTCAGCGGATTCGAAGGGAACGATAGAGCAAGAGTCAAGCAGATGGTTAAATATACAGGAGCAAAGGTATGTACTTTTTTACGCTATATACACAGTTCATATTACAGGTATTGGTCATTTCCTTTTCAATCCGTTGTATATCATTCAATGCATCATTTTTTTCGCTTAACTTTGTCCTACTGTCGGGATAGTAGAGAATGTCAGGAATTATGAGATAATGAAAATTTAACTTGGTATCGTTATTATTACTATTGTATTGTGTATAAGAATTTGTATTACTAAATTTAAATACAAATAAACACAAACTGCTATTGACAAAATATTAACAATGAATAACGTTATCTAACGGTGCTTCTAAATGAACAATAGTTTTGTGATAATATTAAATGCAGCACATGGCTTGGCAATATATTTATATCTCAGCAACAGTATGTCCCGTAAATTTGTTCGTAAACGGGAAATATAATTGGGTGACAGTGGATGAAAAAATCATACTCGTTACAGCGGCTTATGTTGCGTTAAAAAAAATTGAAAGAAAAATAGGATTGTAGATTCGACTTTACTTAAACAGGCATGAAACTTTAGATAACGTAAGTCTAGAATTAAGTCTTGATAATAACTTATTTAAAATCCACAAGGAAATTGAATTCCTGTATACCATGTATCACAAAAAAATTTTATTTAAAAAATTCCTTTATAAAAGGTATAATAATATAAAAAACTATCGGGCTACATCACACAACGTTTTTGGAATACTTTTCCATCATCAGTGCTATCTGGATTTACATGTATGAAGCCACTAAATATGTGGGTAAAAAGCCCTTAACTGTAGTTTGATTAACATTGAATTACATTTTTGATATTTAAAAACTGATTTATAAGTTATAAACGGAATTGGTCACATAGTAACGTAGGACTCCACTGGGGTTGCTAATCCTTAGACGAAGTGTTTGTGAGGACTTGTTGGTAGCTCCAGTTGCTTTAAACTTTGAACTACGGTGTAAGAATAGTGATCAAATTTTTGGTTTTTTTTTTAATTCGCTGAACAACATAATGACGCTGGGGACAAGCAGAAGATGCCTCATTCCATGAGCACCGATGTCTACCTCTTCTTCTTCTTCCAGGGAACTTCCATCTGTGAAGTTTTTGGGGCTAACGTTCGTAAGGCATTCTCAATAGGTGTCCAAACCATTTTAAACCTTTTCTTTCTATTCTATCAATTACTGTTTCTGTAGCATTCATGTTATTTCTTATAGATTCGTTGGTCTTCCTTTCCAGCCTTGATGTTCTAGCACTTCTTCTCAAATAATCTATTTCAACTGCCAACAATCTTCTCTTCAGGTCTGAATTAATTGTCCATACTTCAGAGCTATAACAAAGAACTGATTCAACCATGGTCTGCCCTATTCTTTTTTTGTTCCTTTTGGAAATGGTGCGATCCCACCATAAGGAGTTCAGGCATCCTACAATTTTACGTCCCTGATTATTTCGGTGTTTAATTTCGGTTGAGCTAGGACGACTTGGTCATCCGCAAAGTTCAGGGAGAACAGTAAGTCATCTCCTATGGGGATACCCATTTCCTGGCAGTGGTTTTTCCAATTTTAGAGGGCTGCCTCAATATATAAATTAAGCAGTAAGGGTGACATACTGCATCCTTGTCTTAGTCCTTTAGTTACTTTTATTGGCTCTGATAGTCTATTCCCGATTTTTAGGTAAGTACTGTTATCCCTGTATGCTTCTGTGATCATTTCTAAAAGGTATGGACTAATGCCGAGTTGTTGTAAAGCTTGCCACAATTTAAGTCTTACAACTGTATCATCACCTTTGCTATCGGTGATGAAAGGAGAGGTTGATGAAGGCTAGATGTACTTCGATACCAACTGCTATTCTTTTTCTATTAATTGTTGGAGTATAAACAAGTTGGAGTATCAGTGCAAGATCTACCAGGCGTAAATCCGCCTTGGTCTTCGCTAATTAGATGTCCTACATCATCTTGCATTTTTCCATTTATTATCTTTACAAACAATCTCCCGAAAGTAGGTAGGACACTTAATCCTCTGTAGCAGTTAGGATCTTTTCGATTACCCTTTTTAAAGATGAATACTTTAGCGATACTGGTGAGTGGTTTAGATGGTACTTTAATTTGTTGGCAGCATTGATTCATTAGAAAAGTTATTCGTTTTATTAGGAGTGGACCTCCTGCTTTGAGTAACTCTACAGCTATATTGCCAGGTCCTGGAGATCGCCCGTTCTTCATTTTAATTAACGCAGTACGGACCTCGTTGTTAGTAGTAATAATGTTACTATTTGTTTGTCTCTACATACTGTATTCCATTCTCGTACATTCCAATCTGGACTCGCGGACTAAATTTTTATAGTGATTTTCCCACTTTTCTATAGGAATTAAGTTGCTTAAGGGGTTATGGGTGTTTTTCTTTAGATTAGTGATAGTTCTCCATGCTTCCGTAGTCTGAGAACCACCAATTAAATTTTCAACTTTTGCCCCTCTTTGGTTCTCAGAAATGGTTTTTTGCTTCTTTTATTTGATTACGTACTTCTCCGTTTTTCCTTTGATATGCTACGCTAGATGCTCTACCTGCTAGATGTTTTATTTCTTATATATTTCTTTTTTTCTTGTATCATTTCTTTTACGTATAACTGTGTAACTCTGTCATATCCTCCATGTATTAAAAGTAAATTTCCGCATTTTTCATTGTTTAACTCTAAACGAGCCATTTCTCATTTCTATCAATTTGCAAAAGTGTCAAGAACCACAAATAATGACAATTATGACATTCATGCACTGCCTGCTAGAATAAAACAATAAATATCTTATCGTTTTAACATTAACCCACAATTATCTCCAAAATTATAAACTTAAAAATATAAAAGGTGTTCTTCTTCTTCTACGGAACTACAGCCCAAATTGAGCCTTGGTCTCCTTTATTTTTTGCCTCCACCCTTGCTTGTCTGTCGCTGATTTTCTCCATACATTGACTCCTAAAAGAGCTTATGCGTCGTTGTTTACTGTGTCTTCCGAGCGCTTTCTTGGCTTTCCAACCGGTCTCTTTCCTTGAATTCTAGCATTCAGTGTTCTTTTTGGTAGCCTATCCTCCCCCATTTTTATCACATGTCCGGTCCATTGCAATCTTTGTATTCTAATGAAGTTTCACAAAAGATATTCTTCTTCGAGTGCGGTCTCCCTACGGAGGTTGGCAATCATAATGGCTATTTTTATTTTAGAACTTGCTGCTCTAAATAACAAAAGGTATAGGGAACCCTAATACTATTTGAAAGAAAACTGATTTCTTTTTTCATTAAGATTATAAAATACAGGGTGTTTCATTTAAAATTATTACTTAGTCTAAGATGTCTGTTTGTCAAAATTTTTGGAAAAATATGAATAACTCAAAAAATATGAAGTTTTGACCTTTGGTACCTTATACAAATTTTATCTAGAATATTACAAAATGAGATAATATACCGGGTATTTTATTTAAAATAACAAATTTACTGTTCGCGCATGACTTGTAACCCCCATAAACCAATTTTCATGAATATCGTTTAAGTAGTTTCCGATAGGTATATAGATAGATACGAGTAGATAGGGTAAGCTCGTCGTGAAATACCCTGTATATATATATATATATATATATATATATATATATATATATATATATATATATATTGGATTTGAAACTTCCGCGGGAGCTATATGTGATTTCAGTTGTTTTCCGGGTTTGACTCCGCGTTAAGTAATTTTGGTTTTTAGAAAAACCATTGTTTTGACGACGTTTCGGCAAGGTCACACTTGCCATTGTCAAGTCAGATTAGTTCTGCTTCGTCTTGATGTTTCAGGAGAACTGATTTCTCGGTCGCTGCTCGCTAAGTTTAAATACCGTGAAGCGCTTCTTGTTATTGGTCCTGTGCGTAGAGTGGGCGGGGTCTTCTTCGCTATTTTAATTTCTACGTTTTTCTGTAGAATATGTTTCCACGTATTTGGGAGTCTTTGGGCATCGTCTCTGGTATTTAAATTTTTTGGATGTTTTTCGATCTCTATGGCTTCCTTGATTACACGTTTGGCCTTATTTTCGATATTGGCTAGCATTGTTGTTCCATTTAAGTCGATTTTGTGTCCTGTGTTGATGGCATGTTGTGCTAGAGATGAAGTTTTCTGTTTTCTTTCGATGGCGTTTCGATGTTCTTCGCGTCTAACTTGTATCCTTCGATTTGTCTGTCCGATGTACGATTTATCGCAGTCCTCACACGGGATTCTGTATACACCTTGATTTTCCAATGCAACTTTTGTTTTTGCCGATGGTAATATGGTTGCGATTTTTTTGTCGGTGTTAAAAATAGTCTCTATGTTGTTTTTACGTAGCACTCTACTGATTTTGTCTGTCGTACCCTTTATATAGGGCAGGATAGTTTTTCCGACTGGTTTTTCCTCTTCTTCTGGATCTTTGATTTTGTTTCGGGATTTCTGTGCCTTTTCAATCGTATACATGGAGAAGCCATTTTTTCTTAGAGCTGTTTTGACTTTTTGCATTTCTTCGTTCTTATGTTCCTTATCTGCCAGTTTCTCAGATCTTGTTATTAGGGTTTTTATTACCGAATTTAATTGTGCAGGATGATGGTGTGAGTCTGCGTGTAAGTACCTGTCAGTATGGGTTGGTTTTCGGTATACTGTGTGTCCTATGCTTCCGTCTTCTTTCTTAATAACTAACACATCTAGGAATGGAAGTTGTTGGTTATTCTCCCGTTCCATGGTAAACTGTATTTTTGGGTGGATATTATTAATGTGTTGTAGGAACTCGTTAAGCTTCTCTTCTCCATGTGTCCAGATAATAAATGTGTCATCAACATACCTAAGCCACAGTTTGGGTTTATGCTCTGCTGTTTCTATTGCTTTTGATTCTATATCTTCCATAAATAGCTGGTCGGCCAGAAATTTTGCCAGTCCAAATTTTGGCAAAATTTCTGGCCGACCAGCTACAACCATATGCTGAGAAAGCGGATTCTTACGTCAAGAATGCAAGCCACTTTATCGACCGTATCAAGGACGCTGTTCTGGAACCTGAACACCTATTAGTGAGCTTTGATGTAGTCTCATTATTCACCAATGTGCCAGTAGAAGAATCATTAGAAATTATACGCAGAAAATATCCAATACCACAGGATACATTAAACCTGACGAGGCACTGCTTAAACAACACCTATTTCATCTACAAGGACCAGAGGTACAAACAAGTTGAAGGGGCACCGATGGGTTCACCACTGTCACCCGTAATAGCCAACCTTTTTATGGAAGATATAGAATCAAAAGCAATAGAAACAGCAGAGCATAAACCCAAACTGTGGCTTAGGTATGTTGATGACACATTTATTATCTGGACACATGGAGAAGAGAAGCTTAACGAGTTCCTACAACACATTAATAATATCCACCCAAAAATACAGTTTACCATGGAACGGGAGAATAACCAACAACTTCCATTCCTAGATGTGTTAGTTATTAAGAAAGAAGACGGAAGCATAGGACACACAGTATACCGAAAACCAACCCATACTGACAGGTACTTACACGCAGACTCACACCATCATCCTGCACAATTAAATTCGGTAATAAAAACCCTAATAACAAGATCTGAGAAACTGGCAGATAAGGAACATAAGAACGAAGAAATGCAAAAAGTCAAAACAGCTCTAAGAAAAAATGGCTTCTCCATGTATACGATTGAAAAGGCACAGAAATCCCGAAACAAAATCAAAGATCCAGAAGAAGAGGAAAAACCAGTCGGAAAAACTATCCTGCCCTATATAAAGGGTACGACAGACAAAATCAGTAGAGTGCTACGTAAAAACAACATAGAGACTATTTTTAACACCGACAAAAAAATCGCAACCATATTACCATCGGCAAAAACAAAAGTTGCATTGGAAAATCAAGGTGTATACAGAATCCCGTGTGAGGACTGCGATAAATCGTACATCGGACAGACAAATCGAAGGATACAAGTTAGACGCGAAGAACATCGAAACGCCATCGAAAGAAAACAGAAAACTTCATCTCTAGCACAACATGCCATCAACACAGGACACAAAATCGACTTAAATGGAACAACAATGCTAGCCAATATCGAAAATAAGGCCAAACGTGTAATCAGGGAAGCCATAGAGATCGAAAAACATCCAAAAAATTTAAATACCAGAGACGATGCCCAAAGACTCCCAAATACGTGGAAACATATTCTACAGAAAAACGTAGAAATTAAAATAGCGAAGAAGACCCCGCCCACTCTACGCACAGGACCAATAACAAGAAGCGCTTCACGGTATTTAAACTTAGCGAGCAGCGACCGAGAAATCAGTTCTCCTGAAACATCAAGACGAAGCAGAATTAATCTGACTTGACAATGGCAAGTGTGACCTTGCCGAAACGTCGTCAAAACAATGGTTTTTCTAAAAACCAAAATTACTTAAAGCGGAGTCAAACCCGGAAAACAACTGAAATCATATATATATATATAATATATATATATATATATATATACATATATATATATATATATATATATTATATATATATATATAAACCTAAAGCTACGATTAATACTATTACAAGATTAAACTCAATATTCTTCCGCGTCGAGCTCTCGACATACCCTCTGATGTCTTCTTCAAGGCTTCCGAGGTTTTAGTCTCCCGAGCCCCCAGACACTATTACACTGATCACTAATCAATCCATTACTGCTACTGGGAATAGCGGATGGTTCATTTATACTGTCGATGGTGACGTGGTTTGGATGGTGGTTGGCGTGGGGATTGGCGTGGCGATTGGCACGGAGGTTGGCATGAGGGTTGGCGCGAATATTTCTGACAGATGAATTTTGATTGGAGAGTTGAGCGGACGATATTTTCTTTACGAGACGTCTCCATGTCAAAGGTAACCGGGTGTCGTCATATCTTTGATTGAGACAATTTGGCATTTTTTCAATTTCTATGGCTTCTCGGAAAATTCTTATTTTGTAGAAGCGGATAGGGGTTGTGGTTTTGGAGTTTTCAAAATCAATTTTGTGACCTATATGAAGATGGTGTTGACCTAGAGCTGAAATTGAATCGTAATTACGAACGGAAATAGAATGTTCATAAATTCTATTTTGGATTCTACGATTTGTTAAGCCTATGTGATCGGGGGCAGCCTTCACAAGGAATTTCATAAACTCCCCGTGTTCATTTGGAATTTTTGTCTTTGATTGAGTTATATAAGTGTGTAGGGGGGGGGGAGGTAAATACTGTTTTGATTTCTCGTAATTGAAGGTGTAAGTCCTTATATATTTTGTTTTTTTCCTCATTTATTTATCATCCATACTACCTGGATTTCCTCTCTAATCTATTAATTTTTTTTTAATTCAGCTAGTCTGTGATTAAGACAAGATATTCATACCTGTGATGATATCTTTTTAAACTTTAGTGAGGATGTTACATTTTCATAAAATTTTCTTCAATATTAAATTTAAAAATATAAGTGGTAAAGCGTCAACTTATCGTAGGCCTCTGTTAATATTAAAACTGTCTAAAACATATCTTTCTATTATTCCTTTTCTTTTAGTATCACTGAGTATGCGTTTAGTTAATCTTATTATTTTTTGTCGAATTGAAGACATGTTATTCAGAACTCGCTTAGGCGGTACGCCTCTTCAAGATAAGGGCTCCCTTGTCAGGGAGAGAAGTGGTAAGAGCAGACGTCAGTCTACGATTGCGAGTTTGTGTGTGTTTAGAGTAGAGGTTAACAATTGGTGGTGCTTAGAAGCAGTAGTCAGTCGTTAGTAGTTCATTGGTGTTGTTTAGTGGTGCGTATTGGTGTTTGTAGAGATGTTGGTCTATGAGTCATGCAGTTCGGAGGAGGTACCTTAACATCTTACCAGTTATATGGCGGGAACGGCTCTTTTCGATAGAGCATTTTTGGCATGTAGATAGTGCCAAAAATGCTATATCGCAAAGAGCCGTTTCCACCGTATAGCTGGTAACATGCTAAGGTTTTTCGTACTTAATTCAAAAACATTTGAATGCTTCGAAATTTTGATTTGTTTTTTTCTATCATAAGCCTAACATATGTCGAAAAACGACAAACACATGTTTAATGCTAAATTCAATTCGTATAAGCTGGGTACGATTTGTTTCATTGTAAAAATTTCGTCTATTAGTGATCAGCTCTAACCAACTTGCTATTTGCAAAGATTATTTTCAACTTAAGTTTTAATGCTACATACATGCAACATCCCCTTTTTATGTCTTGGACGTAGGATGGCTTCGTTCCACTGATTGGATATTTTTTTTAACCACATTTCTTGTATCAACTCTTGTGATTTCTTCTTGCAGCCTTTTGCCACCTTATTTTGAAACTCAGAAATGATACCGGTTTTTTTCGGTGCCATGTTGTTTTTGAAGTAATTCGTTTATTAGTTTAGTAATTTTTATTATTGTTAATCTTTTTTCTTGGTAGCTGCTTCTTTATTATCCTTTTGGTGCTACTTAATCTGGTAATTGCATTTGTTGGCTTTGATCTTGATCCTGTGGGTGTAATGTATTTGAGAACTATTTGGTCTCTTTATCTTTATACTATCTTATAATGTTATGCCTATAACAACTGTTTTTCTTCTACATATTTTCTTCGTCTCCCGCCTTTTTTCAGTAGATACTTCTTTACTTCCTATGTTGTTAATTCTTATGTTATTTATCTTGGTTATGTCGGTCATCAACTGCTCTCTTACAATCTTCATCATAACAGTCTGTCGTTTTTGTTTATTCCTTGGTATTACCAAGTCGGTAGCTTCTTGTATTTTTAGTTGTTTATATCAGCTTTCTGTATTATCTAGCGTTATCTGGCTTATAAATGTCTCTTCAACCTACTCTCTGAACATTTTCTTAATATTGTCATTCAATAATTTCAGTAATAATGTATTTTTACTTTTTTACATTTAAACTTTAATTCAAGAAAGATATATACAGTAATTAGAACACAAAAGAAAATACTCGTCACTACCTATAGTATTTGCTTAGATTTTAATTAAAACATTCAGATTCAAAAAAATTCAGATCTTTAACAGTAGTTAAATTTCATCTAGACATCATTTCCAAAGTTATCTTTTCATAAAAAGTTCCTAAAATATCTTATTTTTGATAAGACAAAGTGCCTGAACAACTGGTTTAATCAAAATGTATTTTTCAACTATAAATTCTGTAAATTTTAAAATATTCGCTGATTTTGTTCATATATGTATTGGTCCTAGACTCAATATTTTTTATTATAAATTTTCTGTTTTAGTGCACAACATATTTCTCGAAACATAACACATTGTTGATATCTGCCAAGGCTGATGGTAAAAAATGTTCCTATGCAAAGAAGTGGCAAATTCCGGTAGTTAATCTACAGTGGTTAACCGATATCATGTTGGGACACTTTACAGCACTGAATCAACTGGAGCACCAAATATATCAACAGTTTCCTAACCCACCAAATTTCAGTTTCGATCCCAAACTCGTACCTAATTTAATGGGTAAGCAAAATAAATATATATTTACCATATAATATGAAGCCTCTAATTTTCTTTCTAGAAATAAATAATAAATTTCTTTCTAACTAGGTCATTCCAGTACATATTTACTGTCGTTATATCGCAATAACTAATATACTCTGTCCACTGGTTCGTTGCATATTATGTGTAATTACTAAATTTATATATAAATCAAAACGTTTACTTCAAACGTATGTTGTCGATGTAAGAGGTAGAGAATGACTTAAAATTCCGGTAAGCGTTTTTGTTAATATCTTAGATTTTAAAAATATGGTATAAATTTGGTTTAAAATGATTTTCAAATTTTCTGAAACATACAGGTTGTCCTGTTGAAACATACAGGATGTCTTTAGATAGCCCCAAATTTATTTTAGTTTGTGCTTTAGTTACGTCCCTAGATAGTATATACATGCATCTTTAGATATTCCTTAATTCAGCTTAGTATCTACTTCAAGTGAATTGAAAACTATCTTGTTCTTTTACTGATAATATTTAAACCATGATAGAATTACAGAAATTTCATTGCGGATGAAGATATTGGTGATTGTGTAAACCAAAAACGGGTAATATTTATTCAATAGACAGTTGATGGACGTTTCCATTTATTTCAAATATTCATAAGCGTTCTCCCAAAATGTTAGCCGGTACATTAACCGTTTTATAATTCTTATATCTATGACATACGTTTGACTTAAACACTTGATTTCGTTAAGATAAGTTGAATGATGATGTTTATGCAAATAACCGACGTACTGATTATATCCAGCTTTTAAATAACCTGCGTATTTTATGTATAATTAACATTATTAAACATTCTAATTGTTTTAGTGGCATGGAAGGCTCCGATTAACATTTCCCAAGAATCTTATGAACGTGTAAAAAGAAGTGCCTCCCCCACGGTTACACCTAAGAAACCAAAGAAGCCTAAGATTGAACCGACAGACGAAAACGATAATATTAGCGATGAAATAATGGCCAATTGCTCGTATAAAATACTCTTTTCGTTGGTGGGCAACCTTAACAAAATGAAACAAATGGTCAAGTAAGTATGCATTTTTTCTGCTGAAAAAGTGATATTTGAGTAGTCCTAGGACATTCCAGTTATTTTCTTAGTTATCACAGTAACAAATAATACAGTTAGCCTTTTGCAATTTTTTGGTTGTCAGAAATACTCTATTAGCTTCTTCTTTCTTTCTCTACCGGCTTTTAATTAATATTTTCCCTTGACTAAAGCCTGCACCCTTCTAGACAAGCTTTATGTACATGTTGAGGCAATTTTATTTAATCTATCATTATAATTTTAGTGATAAATAGTCTTTTAGTTAATTTCCTTCGCGTTTTTATATCTTTTTAGTTCAGACCTACAGCAGTTTTCTTAAGGAACTTCCAGACATTTTCAATCAGATTTATATCTTATATTTATATCGAAATAAATTAAAACCTCGAGTAGGTTTACTATAAATACTTTTACGATTTAATTCGGTCTATTAGTGTAATTATAATGGTAATTTGCCATTTGAATTAACTATATTCGCGTTTTTATATCTAATGTTTATCCCATACATGAATAGAATATATATGAATAGGTATTCCCAAACATTTTAAATCAGATTCATGTCTGGTGAATTTTATAGATTATAGTATCCACCTCTCGATGTAGGCTCCCTATATGCGTGGGAGATTTTATTCGGAGTGTCCGTGTAATTTCAGTGATAAATAATCTTTTTAAACCAATTCATTCGCGTTTTATGCCTTTCTAGCTCACTCGTTTTTTCTGACACTTCTAAACATTTTTAATCAGATTTATGTCAGACGTGAACTGAATTGATATGTTCTGTTAGATAGAACTGAAAGTTGGTTTTCTTCCATCTACTGCTTTTGCGAAATGGTAAGATGCCAATTTCTACATGAAAAATTTTGAACCATCCTCAAACCATTCGGGTAGTTAAGTTTTGTCTCTAACAACATTTTTATACTGAGGTCTTGTCTTGTCTTGTTAGACTATGAGATCTTAGGGTAAAAAATTTTGTTGCTCTTAACTTAAAAAAGTTGTATGTTCTTTTTTACTTCATTCCATTTCCTCTGTAATATTTTGCACATACTTAAACTTATGCCAGTTGTCAATGTGGCTCTTTCTTGAACTGTTTTGACCTACTTTAAAGAGGTTTACTTTCTGTAGCTTCTGTCTGCATTAAGTAAATGCCATTATACATATTACTTTACTTGTTTGACTACACAATACTTGATTTTGGTCTAAACTCCATTCTCGTCCTACTTTCTTCCAATACCTTATTTCTAGATCGACTGTACACGATGCTTATTGTGTTAATGTCAAAGTCAACTGACAAAACTTGGAACTGCTCGTCGCTACTGTCTAGTGTACGTTATGTGTTCACGAATCGGAATCTTTCCTCTTTTGTAAAATTTGATAAAGAGTTTTTTGATGGTGTTTATCACTTCAGTCACAGCTCACACTTCTTATAGTGCCTTTTCTTTTTTGGATGGTGAACACTTACTTACTTACTTACTTCGTGGCGTTACAACCCTTCGTGGGTTTTAGCCGACTCGACAACGTGTTTCCACTGTTTTCTGTCTTGAGCAACCTCCATCCAATTCTCCACGCCCGTAGTGCTTGGGTCTCCTGCTACATTATCTCGCCACCGGAGACGAGGGCGTCCGCGTGGTCTCCTTCCAGTTGGGACTTCCTCCCAAACCAATCTTACTGTTCGTTCGTCAGAATGTCTTCTGAGGTGTACTGCCCATTGGAGTCTTCTGGACTTTATTTCTTTTATGATGTTGGCGTCTGGGTAAAGTTCTTCGAGCTCTTTGTTAGTTCCTATCCTATATTGTCCTGATGCTTCATCCAGCACAGGACCAAACTTCCTGTGTTTGCCTTTGTTATTGTCCACGTTTCGCTTCCATACATCACATCGGGTCGTATGATTGTTTTATAGACCTGTATCTTCGTACGTCGTGTGAGTTGTTTTGATTTTATAAGGTTTTGGAGGGCAAAAAGACATCTGTTGCCGGCCTGAATCCTGTTGTTTATTTCTTGAGATCCGTTATTGTCTTCAGTTATTGTTGTTCCAAGATACTTGAATTCTCTAACGCGTTCAAAGTTAAAGTCATCGATGGTGATGTTATTGCGGCTCATATACATATATTTCGTCTGGATGGTGAACACTAACATGGCTATTTTGACTTTATTGACTGCTGTCCTAAAAAGTACTGAAGTGGTCAAGTTAAACCACTTTTGTAGATTATGAAGCCAGGATATTCTTTTTCTTCCTGGACCTCTTTTTCCATGCGCCTTACCTTGAAGTATAGATAGATAGATAGATAGATAGTTTATTTGACTGTAAGTTACAACTAGGTTTACAGCAAGTCAAAACTAAAATTATAAATAGTAAATATTACAAAAAATGAAAACAATACATTAAAAATATTTAAGACATTAAAATACTTAAAAAACGTACAATATAGACATATAATTAAAATATTAATAAATTTGGTTATGTTGCAGCTTAGGCATTCACAGATACACCCTCGTAATATTCACCTAATGTATAAGGACACATGGTCACTAGGTACTCTTTGACTTGGTTTTTAAAAGCTGTAGTTGAATTAATGTTTTTAAAATTTTGAGGAAGTTGATTATACAGTTGTAAACCACAGATAGTAGATGACTTCCTGCTTATTTCTAAATGTCGATAGGGTACTACAAACTGTCTCTTATTTCTTGTGTTGTGTGAGTGAATATCACTGTTACATAAAAAAGTTCTTTTATTTTTATGAATTAGTATCAATAATTCCAAAATGTAAATTCCATACACTGTTAATATATTCAAATCTCTAAATAGGTTTTTACAAGACCAACCATACGGAACACCTGCTATACATCTGACAATACGTTTTTGGGCCTTGAAAACGTCCTTTACACTAGAAGAACCACCCCAGACAGTTATACCGTAACTTATTGTCGATTGTACCTCAGCAAAATAAAAAAGACGAAGGTGTTGCAGACTAAGTATTCTACCCAAATTTCTCAATTGATAACATTTAGAATTGAGTTTTTTACATACATTCAAACAATGAGTCTTAAAAGATAAATGAGAGTCGAAAGTCACTCCTAAAAACTTTACATCACTACAACTCAAAATATCCTCACCATTGATGGAAATACTTAAATCAGGTTTGGTTGAATTTGAACGTGATGTAAATGATAAAAATTTAGTTTTGTGAACATTGAACAGGAGCGACTGATTACTGGACCAATCAGAGAAGGTCTTCAGAGAGTTTGTTATTTTATCTTGTAAAAAATTTATGTCTTTATCGCGATATAGCATTGTTGAGTCATCCGCATAAACTGATACAAACGCATCAGGCATTACATGTGGTAGTTCATTAATATACAAAATAAATAATATAGGGCCCAATATTGAGCCCTGTGGTACTCCATTCTTATTAATAATCGGATCAGACATTGAAATCTTGAAGTTATTTTTCACTTTAACTATTTGGTGCCGGTCTTTCAGATAGGAAACAAACCAACTATGGGCAACTCCCCTAACACCATATCTGTACAATCTATCGAGGAGCACATCGTGTTGCACACAATCAAATGCACGACTGAGATCACAAAAAATGGCAGTTGGATTTTCACTGTTCTCAATTGAGAGTAAGACTTCATCATAAAAACTGTTAATGGCTGTGGAAGTAGAAAATTTATTTCGAAATCCATGTTGATGCTTTGTGATAATTTGGTTGATATCTAAAAATAATAAAAGTTGTTTTAGCATTGCATATTCAATAATCTTAGATATCACAGATGGAACAGACAATGGTCGAAAATTTGACATTAATTCAGGATCACCTTGTTTTAATACCGGTGAAATGATAGAAGTTTTCAGCATATTGGGAAAAACACCAGTATTGAAAGAAGAATTTATAATGTGAGTCAGTGGTGTCAAAATTTGAGACGCAATTTTCTTAATTACTATACCTGATATTTCATCAAAACCACACGATGCTTTGTTTTTAATTTTATATTTTATTATATCTAAGACATCTTCCTCTGTTACATAAGATAGGAACAAACTAGTTTGAACAAAATCATTGGAATGCTGAAAATTTAAATTTGGTTTAATTATTTTACTAATTATATCCACTGGTGCATCTATAAAGTAATCATTAAATTTGTTTGATATTATATCTGAATCTGTAATCATAGTATCATCTATTTTTAGACAGATATTTTTGTGATTTTTTTGTTTTCCATTAAGTTCATTTATAACAGCCCATGTGGTTTTGTTTTTGTTAGAGGATTTAGAGATTTTGTTAAAATAAAATTGACTCTTTGTGGCCTCAACAAGAACTTTGTGCTGATATTTTTTTTGTCTATGTAGAGTTTTTAGCTCAGGGTAAGTCTTACTCAATATATACAAATCCTTCAGACTATCTGAAGAAGATTTTACTTCTTGGGTGACCCATGTATTTTTTTTGTTTTGGTAATGTTTGGTTTCTCTAATAGGACAACTAATATTGAAATAGAACTGTAATTTATTATGAAAGGCATTATATTTACTCTCAACATCATTTGCATGATAAACATCTTGCCATGTTTCTTTACTCAAGAGATTGTTGAATGCATCTATAGCGCCTTCATGTGTTACTCTGAAAGTATTTCGAACTGTTGTCATAGTTAGATTAATAAAATTCAATCTTAAAAGGAATATATCGTGATCCGATTCAGTATTTACATTTACAGTACCTACACAATCATCACAATTTGTATATACCTGATCCAAAATATTTCCGCATGTGGAAGTCGACCTTGTAGGTGTAAAGTTCCTAGGTGACAAACCATAAGATGCTAGAAGACCAGAAAATCTGTGTGAATTATTTGGTGTCATGGAATTTACATTAAAATCGCCTGTTAAAAATATGAATTGATTTGGTTTAAAATTTGAATTTAAAATAAGGTTAAGTTTTTCATAAAATACATCAAATTTACCTTTAGGAGATCTGTAGCAAACTAAATAT